ATATATATATATATATATATATATATATATATATATGTATATATAACCTGTGTATAATAACAATAATCCTACCTAACAATATTAGTCATAAAAATATTGCGTTTATAAACCGATCACCCGAACCAATCAACTACTTTATATAGACCTAATACATTCTCAAATGATCTTCTATTTAGTCATGATAGAAAAAAAAAGCTTCAAAAAGAACCGTTACGTATGCAATACATCATGAATGCTCTTGAATGCGTGTTCTAACGTTTGTACGTATTTACTGGCATTACGACTGCCTTCGTAAGTCGTCACGACAGCACCCAAACGTTTCTCCTGAATCATGTATCTGTAAGAACAATACATTAGTGCTCTGTTTAAGCTGTAATTTAATAAAAATAATATAACAGGACATTAGTAGTCCTTGCATTTCCAACGTTAATGTAATTCTCGATATGGATATACTTACCCTATTCCGTAACCATCAAGTACCACTGGTCCAAATCCACCGGCCAATACATCCGGACTCGATAAAGTAGATGTAGATAATATGTTATAATTTATAGCATGGTACGCTGAATCGTGGAAAATAGCTGGCTCGTTGTTGTTTAACTTCTCCGATATTTTCCTCAAGGCGAACAGATGTCTGTCAAATCCTTGTCCTGTAAAATAAAATGCCGGACAATCTATGTATACATCTGTATTTTCTCTTAACACATTCATTGCCAAGCTGAAAGTTGAAATTTCGTGTGGTGGCCGAATTTTTTATATTTTTTTATTTAGTTTTTATTGTGCTCAAAATAAGTTAATATATTATTTATATGCTTTTATTATTATGTACATAGGATTTATGTACTCTAAATCTATTACGCGATAACGCGTGATCGGCTGTTTGGTGAGAACTCGCCTCACGCGATATCGCGTGATTGGCAATGAGCGTGTTAAACCGACGTGCTTGACATTTAATTAGCAACCAGAATAATTACCCATTACAGCTTCTTTCGTGAGCGCATTGTGAGCTTTACTACAATCGTAAATCATTTTCTTCAACTCCGATTTCGAAAGTTCGTTATTGTTACGAATCATAGCGGCGCATATCGCTTTAGTTGCTAGTGTACAAGGTCTAATAGCCTCCGTTCTTCCGTGTTTAAACGCAGCAGTGCTGCAAGACTCATAAGTTGGTACCAATTTGCCTTCCAGAGTATACAGCGCCAATTGGAATGCCAGCTGCATCACGGCGTCCGGACTCACCCCGAGCTTCTTACATTGCCGTTTACCAAATTCTTCGTAAATTATGTGGTCCACACATAATCGATCGGTCCATTCTTTGTACTTGGCTATCTCCTGCTTGATAATACTCTCGCTTTTGGCATCTATAGAGAATTCAAGTCTCTCAATGTTTGCATTCTCCTTCGAAAGTTCATCTACTTCGTTAGGATGGAATTGAGGTTTCTTCGATATGTCAGCTTTCACATCCTAAGAAACAATCAAGTTAGCAATTATTGCATTAACAATACGTATCTTGAAACACTGTTATTTACCTGGAAGAATCTCAGTATTGCGACACCGTCGCCCCATGAATGTTCAAAATTAATTCCACCGTAGCCGTCCTTTGAAATAATGAGGGAAAATGACTTGTCAAACCATCGATTGGTACCATCTGCATGAAGATATGTCCTAATTAAATTATTTTTAACGGCACCCACATCTTCATCATCTAAGATCAGTGCGAATACAGCGGAATCAATCTTTTTTAGAATTTCTTGATTTCCCGTCTCGAGCAAATGTGAACGTGTCTGTGCCCACTGATCCCTTTCCGAAGTTGTAAGGATGCCCACAGGATGTTTATTTGGTGGTCTGTCATCTTCCAGTATAGTCTTTAAACATGCAGCTATTTCCTTGGGACTACGAATAGTGCCGTTTGCGCTTAAAACATCAAACGCATAAAAGTGTCCTCTCCTCATTACGACTAGGTGTTTTGCAGAAGAATCATGGAAGGTTCTATCTTTCTCTAGCTGCGGTATTCTAGTTGTATTGAACAGATTCTTATATTGTGACATGTCCAATGGATAAGCCTACGATAAAAATTTCTTCTTAGACATGCTTTTTAAGAGAGTTGCTTTTCAATCTATAAATATAAAAATATTTGATAAAAAAATATATATATATATGTGAAAGGTAAACCAAATTACGTACATACCTTAAATAAATAAGCACCGTAATAGCTAAAGCTAGGTGGGATCAATCTTGTAACATTGCGAAATAGATTGGTATTTGACTTCTTGGGATTCAAATGAAATACTTCTGGCTCTAAAATATTATCCCTGAGAGACTTAAAGAATCTCATTGAAGATACAACAAGATTTGTGGCTTTCACCAATTGTGTGTCATATTTTGGATCAGATTCTGGTACAAAGACTAGGAAGGGATTATAATTGATTGGCAATGGCTTGCGGTCACGTAAATACATATCAAACCATAATTCACTAATGTAGCTAGTATGTGAATTCTCAGCATTATTATGAAGTAGTTGTTTCTGTAAACTCTGTCCCTCATTTGCAAGAAATTTGGAAACACAGGAAGAAGTATTTTGCAGTTTCTTATCATCCAACAGAGGTTTTTGCGCGTCTATATATCTCCTACATGTATCTTCAAGTTTTGGTATCGGTAACCTCGGTAAAGATGCTTGGAAATGCAAAGTTGGAATTTTGCTAATTTGTATATATTGGTGTTCAGCATTATCGTATGAGGCTACAGTACTCCTGAAATAAAGCTAGATATTAATATCATATTTTGCTTCAGATAAATATCTGTGTGTAAAATTGGACATTTATATCAAAAGTAAAATAATTCAAATGATAACTGTACAAATATACTAATCTCATAATAGCTAACTTAATAGTTCTGAAAACAAGCACACAAGGAATAATGATAATTCGTTATTAGAGATACAAAAACAAAACACAAATACCTAGCTAAACGTTGTACTAATTCCACTCCTCGACGATTAATCTGTAATATATTCACAACAGAAGAAAAAAATAAACACAAATACTCAAAAATATATTATCCTGAGAGAATATATTATTTTGAGCGCATATATGTCAAACAATTACTGTACCGTATTTTTACGGAGTCCACTCTTAGTTAAGTTAAACATCTTGCTGTCTGATATAGGTCACTCTCAAAAGTATGTGTACTTTGATCGTATTATTTCTTATCAACAAAGAGGATTTATCAAGTTTACGAGGAAACGAATATGTCACCGAGGCATCTTCATTGGCTTGAAATACATTAAGATCACCCTGTATGTATATATTTTCACGATATATAAATTTACGTTATATAATAAAAGACTAATTATACACATCAGTTTGCATATATACACATTTATATAAGTAAATCACCTTTTAGAAAAAATTCGTTTTTCTCAAAGACGACAACATTTCGCGGCATTTGAAGCTTAGTTTCTGCAACATGTGTTGTACTTTTTGTACATAAAACGAAATATATTAGACCACAATAGGTCAATAGGTCTGTTCGTTTTCGCTGCACCGCTGAACTAGTGCAATAAGTTGAAGTGAGAAAACATACTTGTCTCGCTTCAACTTATTGCACTAGTTCAGCGGTGCAGCGAAAACGAACAGACCTAATTTCTTACGATTTAGCTGCTTACCGCACCTATCGTGGAGCAGAGGTACGTTCACACTGAAGTTCTCCGTTTGTAACTAAACCTAGCGCATTTCCTTTCCTTTCAGTTGGTACGTTGGTTCCAGCGTCCTGACAACATCGGTTAATACGACGCTCTCAGTCGTCATCGCATCCATCTTACGAACGCACGATCCGATGGGCGAATACGACGAATATAAATAATGTGCGTCCTTCAGTTAATTTTTTTGTAACTTACAATTTCTGCTTGTTGCACACGCCGATATTGCGAATCACGCTTTCCGACCGATGAAGACTTGTGCCTTAAGAATCTCGCATTCCGAATGTTCCAGTCGACGACTGTTTGTTGTTGCTCGTGAACAAGGACAATAGAAGACTCTGGTTTACACGGTGTTTACAGCCGAAGGGATCGACCAGCTGGGTTACTCTGGAGAAACACAGTAACCGGTGACGTTCTGCGAAGTATCAGCCGCCACTGTAGAAAGACTGCACGCATTGGGTTGCAAAAACCACCGTGACACGGATCTCGATATGAGGTTAGATTCCGCGTTACTCCGCGCTGTAGACGTATCTCACGCTCTACCGTTTATCCCTCCTGCGTTGGACATTCAAGTTAAACATTAAGTTACGGCCAGACCTGACTGTCACTTCTGTGTTAGATGGACTGTGTAATATGGACTGTTGAAGAAGAGCATAGTTCTTGTGTACAGTGGTGATAAGGTCTGGTACTTTATCTGTGTGTTGATGTGTATATGCCATTCGTGTGTTATGTTCCCACCTCGATGAGATTAGGGACTGTGGAATCATGTAAGTGTAGCTTTATACAATAACGTAGGAACTATAACTTTGTTTATATCTATAACAAGTTGCGTCATTCCGCAGGACGGATCCAGAATACGATATGGGTCCTACGACGGAGGTGAAATATCCAGTACCTCCTGAATTTGACGACGAGCAAACGTTAGACGAAGAAGAAGCTTTAGAAGGTAGTGAAGATTCTCACGAGTTGTCCAATTTGCAAAAGGTATATCTCCGCCAGTATCTGACCTTGGTACCTTGGTATATATGCGCATATATCTGTCATTTTGTAACAAAGTTTCTGATCCCGACTATTCTAGGATCAAGCCTGAGAAATGAAAAAATCAAGCCCATAAATAATTACAAATTATGATAAGTTTCCGCAACACTTTGGACTCAAAGTGCGTTCTCGTAGTGAGATTCCATGTTTAGTCCGTATGAGTACGCTTGATGTAATAATGATTTATTTCTGTCTCCTTGCAGGAGGGTGATATGCCGCTGAAAGATCTGCTTGCCATGTACGGCTACGGCGATCCCTCGACGGAGAACTCGGACAGTTCCGATCACATGTTGCTGCCGTCCGGGAGCGGGGATCCCGAGACCGAGGAGCGTTACTCCGACAAAGGTGACAACGACGCGGACGACGACGACGATGACGACGAGGCCGATGCAAACAGCAACGAGCCGGATCTCAAGCAATTCTACACGGAGATGCTGGTGAAAGGGAAGGATAAGACATCGTCGATCCCAACGACGAAAAACAATAGCGGCAGCGGGGGGACGACCGGTGGGGATAGCAGGAGGCACAGAATCGACGATGACGACGACGATGACGAAGATGCCGAAGCTGAAGAGTGCGCGATGACGGGTCCTCGAAGCGGGAGCGGGAACGCTAGATCGTCGCCTACGGCTGCGGGGACCAATGCCGTCGCATGCACCGGCATGGTGAATCTGGGAGGCTGTTCAGCGACTGATGCCACTAACAGTGCTGCGGATGGAGCCACCAGCGGCGCGATAGACGTGCCGGAAGACGGGATTGTCAGCGCTGGAATAGGAAGTGGTAGTTCGAGACTCTTGCGAAGTGTTTCCAGACCCCAGAGCGAAGAAGAAGAGGATGACTGCGACTACAGTCCGGACGAGGAGGAGTGGAAGAAGACCATCATGGTCGGTAGCGACTTTCAAGCTGCGATACCGGAAGGCCTGTGGTTCTACGACGACGCGTTGCCATACGAGAATGAAGACAAGCTGCTGTGGGATCCCACCCCGATATCTGAAGAGGATACAAATGAATTCCTGGAACGCGCGCAACTCCCGGCGGTAAAGGGTGGCTCGTTACCGGCTGGATCGCATATCAGAGACGACGAGCAGGCCTTGTATCTCTTGCTGCAGTGTGGCTACAATCTCGAGGAGGCTCTGCGAAGACGCAGAATGAATGTGGTGCCTCCGACGGAAGCGGTGAGTCTCTGGTCGGAAGAGGAATGCCATAATTTCGAATCGGGACTGCGGGCCTACGGGAAAGATTTCCATCTTATACAGAAAAATAAGGTACGTAGTGAATGAAAGTAGACATTCTCCATGCTAGTCCGCCTGAATCATTTACCTTCGACGTACGCGTTCACTAATATCTACATTATTAACGTTAATTTCGCGTCGCCCCTACCGTAACAATAGGACGGTTTACTTGATGGCAGTACTCGTTATCGTTCATGACTTACGTCACCGTTATTTATCGTCATTACTTACGATAATTAAGGGCCATATGCAGAAAAATATAAACAGTAAGATTCAAGTGATAAGCGAATCGATGAGTCAACTAGGAATTTCAAATCTTACTAATTACGTTTTTCCGTGTGGCGTGCGAGTCTGGTTTATAAAAAAAGAAATGAAACGAGTATGATACGAAATTAAAGATGTTCTTTTATTTCTCAGGTTAGAACAAGATCCGTGGGAGAATTAGTGCAATTTTATTACCTGTGGAAGAAAACCGAACGGCACGACATATTCACGTACAAAGCTCGATTAGAAAAGAAAAAATACGCGCTACATCCTGGTATCACGTGAGTATTTTCTCCATCCCGGCGATTACTTCTCCCCTCCTTTTCGCTCTAATTTACTGTATATAACTTCATCCTTAAACGCCCAAGCGTTTATACTTTTACCGTATCAGATATCACGTGTGTTCGCAGGTGTTTAAGAACATTGACTAGGGAAACTAGATATCTAATACTGCAGATATTTGACTGAAATAAAGTAGTACACTCTCGTGTAATGCAATTTATTTTCTTCCGTTGTCATTATTGCAAGCATGAATGACAGAACCGTTGAATCGCAAGCAGGGACTATATGGACCGATTCCTCGAGGAGCAGGAGGGGGTGCGGGATCGCAGCAGCTCGCCGAACGTTAATTATCTGTTGTACGGCGACGCGAAGCGGCAGAGGTCCAGCGTCAACATCGCCAACAACGACGAGGCCAAGCCGGCCGATTCCTGGGACGGGAATCCCGTGGCGGATCCGCTGGCGGACATCAACGGTCCGACGCCGCCTCCGCCTCCGCCGCCTCCGCCGCCGCCGCCTCTCGCAACGTCCGCTGCGACCACCGTCTCCTCCTCGACGCTCTGCAATCCCAGTGTTCTGAACACACCGACATCGTATTGCCCGCCGTCCGCTCGTCACCCGGACGGCCCCGAGTCGGAATGTGCGAACGCGTGGAGTGCGGCGTCTCGAACTCAACCTACCTCCTCCGTCATCACGACGATAACGATCAACACCACCACAGCCGCGGCGGCGGTAACAGCCGTCGGTTCGATGAACACGGTTACCACCAGTTCCACCGCCGCCACCGCGACCGCCGCCGCCGCTGTCGCGGTCTCAAACAATTACTACCATCAGCGAGTGACGTCGTCCAGGAGCAACGATTCTCACGACTCGCCTTCGCCGGAGAACATTTTACCTCATCTGCCCCCTTAGCGTCTAACCCGACCTTCAGGTGTCCAACCTGAAAGGCGGCGGATGTCCTTGCGCGGTGTGCCTAACACGGCACTCACACCATCGCTATTGTCGTAACGCATAATATTCGTTAATATCAAGGATTATATTTTTATACCGTATCGTAACATGATTATCAATCGTCCTTAGCGTGAGTGCGTGATGTACAGTGGTGCGTGGTACGATGGAGGGACGCACAGTGAGGTGGTGCGAAAGAGCGAGCGTGTCACTGTACGGAAAGGTACAATAGATGAGGAAGCGAGAAATAAAGCGAAGAAAGAGAAGACGCGAGTCACTGTAAAACATTCTTTCTATTCCCCCCTCCTCTCTGTATCCACACACCTACATGTCCCATGGGAAAGGTAGATATATCTTGAAGAGGCTTGTTAAGAGGGAAAATGTCGGTGGGGACCAGCGGAGGAGTGGAATAGTATATTACATACCGCGAAAAATGAGAAATTATGTAGGTAGATGATTGTACTGCGTAATTGATCACGATTCAACTTGTCGGGAAAGCTGTCTCTCTCTCCACACACATACATACACCCACACACATACAGATCAGCGGTATATTTATAACAATCACGAGAAATCTCTTGCGGAGCAATCTTGTCATTCCGTAAAATGCGATGATCATTGGAACCGGTCGGATTAAATGAAAGTCAGAGTGGAGGCATGATCGTCATTATTTTAATGTAACGAACGCGCGTAATCAGCGGTTCTGATGATTCGTTCTGTCCCTCGTTAAGTGTAGTTGGCTGTGTATAAAATTATATAGTTTGTATTCTCACACTTTCCTAGAGACTATTTAAGGATCACGAGACACTTCTAATTTACTGGATATGCATTACTTTATGTTCGATCATTTATAAATAGTGTTGAATATAAAAGTACACGCTAAATTAAAAATATCGTGTTTTTGTTGCACTCTTCTCGTACTATTCCTCCCTACCTCTCTTCCAAGTATCCGATCATTTCCATATGTAAATATAGCTCACGTATTCCGATACGAGATAACAGAGACATTAACATATTTATCACGACTCATTATTGTCGACTAACACTTGTGAACGTCTCGAAGTAACCGCAAAGCGCCTTCGGCAGAATGGCTGACTTGTAATTTTATGAAGATGGCTGCGTTCAGCAGAGAAAGAAGCCCGGGTGAACGCTCTGTGATCGAACGCGGGACGCAGCCTTGGAATGTCGAGACTTCTTTCCGGAAGGAAGATGCAAGCTTCCGTATTCCAAAAGCGCGATCTCACGACCGTTATCGGAACTGCGCCGAGTCCAAGGACTCGACGACCGTCTTCAGCAACTTGCCCATCAGCGGCAGGAACTGCACGCTGCTGACGTTCGCCTTGAACGCGCCGGTAGTGAGGATACTGTCGTCCAGCCTCTTCTCCGGTGTCATCTCCGCGGATGAGTGATCGCGATGATCGGGCGAGCACACCGGTGCCTTGTCGACGGTACTGTTCCCCCGCAGCCTCGCCGGCAGATACGTCTGCGCCAGGTCGCCCGTGCTCTGGATCGTCCTGGAGCTCTTGGTGTCGGCGTCTATCAAGGAGCCCTTCACCTGCCAGATATCGGGGGTGCCGCGGTGCTCGAGGAAATCGAAGAAGACCCCCAGTTCGGTGGCGGTCTCGCGCGCTATCAGCTGACGGTCGCGCAACGCGAGCCTGGGGCTCTTCACGCCCTCCAACGCCTGGGACAGTATGAGGATCAGGTTGATCTCCAGCGCGAGTCGCGTGTTGTTCTCGTCCATGGACTCGAACCACGGGTCGCTGAAGCGATGGTTCCTCGCGATGTTCGGACTACCGTTGCCAGGCCCGCCGCTGCTCTTCGCGACGTGTCTGCCGGTCGCCAGGGCGGTCGCCCTCGAGAGGATGGTGTTCTCGCATATCAGCGGGTCGTACGGGCGGCGCACCAGCCTGGGACTGCTGAGCAACGGCACGGTGACGTCCAGGCCGCTGACGTAGCCGAGGAACTCCCCGCCGATACCGGCGGACGTCCTGGACGTGGAGGCCGAGGCCGCGTGAATGATCCTGCGCAGATCCTTGCTGGTGTGCATGCGCCGCAGGTTCTCCGGCGCGGCGCGTTCCCACTCCTTCTTCGCCGAGTCCGTCTTGTCCTCCCGTCCGGGCTGCGAGGCGGCCGCCGGCAGCGAGACCGTCGGCTGCGAGCGAGAGTGGAGGGCCTGAGTGAACAGCTGGGTCGAGCTGATGATCGTGCCGTAAGTGAGCCGCGGGCCGGAGCTCATGCTCATCTGCGGCGGGCCGAAGTTCATCTCCGCCATCGGCGTGTACCAGTAATCCTGAGTGTAGATCGTGTCCACGAGGGTGTTCAGCTTCGGCGAGAAGTGGACGAAGGTCAGGGCGCAAGTGGTGTTGATGACGATCAGCTTGTTGACCAGCAGCTTCAGCTCGCCGCTCGGCAGTCGATTGTCGCAGGACTCGAGCTCCTCGGCGCTCTCCACGCTGATGCCGTCGATGATGAACTTGAGTATCCGCGGCCTCAGCAGCAGGTTCACCGTGCTGTCGTAGGCCAGATACATGCACTTGATCAGCGTGTCGCGCACGCCCGGCTGAATCGCGTTCCAGATGTACGTTTGCGTGGCTATGGCGTGAATGAGAGCGGCCAGCGATTGTATCAGATCGGCGGCCAACAGATCGGCGGTGTGCCTCAGCAACGTCGACACGACCATCAGCTGGTGCTCGTGGGAGTTCAAGAAGAGGGCCACGTGCTCGGCGTAAATCATGTGCGTCTCGCTGGTGACCAGGCCGATGAGGAACTCTAGACCGAGCGTGTAGAGCGGCCACCAGTCTTGGCAGCGCCACCTACCGTTCGCCGAGTCGTCGTACAAGGAGTCGAGCATGCTGTTGCCGATGTCCGCCGGCGGGATCAGGCCGAGCCATAGCTTCGTGATGTCGTTGTCGTTAACGGGACAGTAAGGGGAACGCGATATCACACCGAGAAGGCTCAAGGCGGCGGTGCTAAACTTGAGGTACGGGTACTTCTGTAATGTGTTGCCGACGCAGGCCATCAGCTCGGGTATCATCTGACGGAGCTGCACGCAATTGGCTCTCCGGCTCTTGGAGCCCGAGCTGCGCTCGACGTAGGAACGGAGCAGCTGCGTCACCAGACAGATGGACAAGGTCGCCGGCAGACTCTCCCGCATACCGCGCAGCGCCTCCGCGTTGTTGTAGTCGGCCTTCTTCTGCGTGTCCTTCTCGTCGGTCTTGAGCTCGACGGAGAGAAGCTGCTGCTTCCGGTGCTCCAGCCGGCGAGCGGCGTCCTTCAGCTCCTCCAATTCGCTGAAAGCGATCGTGCAGGAGTGCGCCAAGAGGTACTCGAGGCTCGCCGAGTCCTCGGCCAAGGTGCTCTTCACCAGCTGCACGCAGCCGAGGAGCAACGAGATCAGCGTCTGTCGCAGAGCCTTGCCGAAGCCGCGATAAGTCTGGGCCACCTCCTGCGTGAGCTGCGACAGTCTGGCCTTGAAGATCCTCGAGTCGCCGACGCACATCTGCTTCCACGAGGTGATGCACCTCAGAGACAAGGAGGCCAACAACATCGGGATCTTGCCGCCGCTGCTGTCCGGTTCCTTCACACGCTCCAGCAAGGAGTCCAGGGCGAGCTGGCTGAGAAGGTGCGCCTGGGACACGTTGATCGGGTAGTTCTTGGCTGTCCGGTCGTCGGTGAGCATGACGATGAAGTGGTACCACGACTCCAAGTTGATCTCGTACAACGGGTCCGCGTGTTTGCAACGCCGATCCTCCTCGGCCGCCCTGCAGCGCTCGTCGGTGTAGAGAACGTACATCGCCAGCTTCTTCCAATAATCCTGAGACTTGTCCAGGAGCTCCTTCAGATTCTTCGAGAAGTTATTCTCGAGCAACGGGCTCTTGTACAGTTCCAGCGTGATTATGTCCAACAATTGGGAGTAACCCTTCGCGCCGGGCACGAGGGCCTTGAAGAGCGGGGCGAACAGGTAGCTCCAGAACTTCTCACGCTTCCGGAAGAAATTCACGAGGATCTCGTTCCTGTGATACCACATGGCGCGCATCACCGTCATCGTGCTGTCGTACAGCTTGTCGCACACGATGTCGTCCTCCTTGTACACGCGTTCCAAATACGAGTCCAAGAACTGGCTGCAGCCCTCCGTGAGAAACTCATCGGCCGGACGTGGGAAGATCCTCTTGCATTCCGCTTGGTGCATGATGTTGAAGAGGGCTTCGGTCAGGCCGGGTTGCTTCTCCAAGCACACGGCCACCAGTTCCAGAATGGCGACCTTCACCTCGATCGCGCACGTCGGCAACGTCAGCCGGAACGCGAAGGTCTCGCGTATGGACGTGCCGTCCATCCCCATGCAGACCAGCAGCGACATGGAGAACTCCTCCGCGAACTTCTTCAACAGTCTGACCGCCATTTTCTGCAACGACGGGCTGAACCAAACGTACAGGTAATTGACGATGGTCGGCACTATCAAGAGCCCGTTCGGTACCAATGGGGAGGAATAAAGGGCGATCTCGAGGGGCGATCTGTCGCGCGGCTCCAGACCCAGGGACTTCCTGAACATCAGCAGTCTGTTCACTATCGACAGGGCCAGCTCCACGCTCTTGGTAGTCTTGAAGCCTTTCCCGCTGATCCAATCTGTCTCGGTTATCATTTTGTTGTGCAACGTCCGTTCACCGGTCCGTATTAACTTGAGCAGCGCGTGACGCGGCTCCAAGTAGAGCAGGCTGTACACCACTACATGCTGTAACTCGTTACGGATGTCGTTCTTGGGCAGTGCCGAGTCCAGAGCGCGATGTATACAGAACATACTCTTCAGCCACAGGTCGATCCTCTCGGCGTTCGACTCGAAGTACCACGAGTCCAGCTTGGGTAGCACACCTTGCAGCAGAAACACCATGCCCGGTATCTCGATCGTATACATAGCTTCTTTACTATGCTTGGCGATCAGGTAATTGTACAGGGTTTCCAGGAAAGCACGCAGAATGGGATAAGTGTGCTCGATGGTTTCTATCCCGGAGAGCCAGGACGCCACGAGACCGCCGTCGAAGGAGATCGCTTCCGCGAAGTCCGCCGGCTTTTGATACCAGTTGTTGAATTTGGGGTAAACACCCGACCGCATACGCAGGAGGATATCCTCGGGGTACCTCAGGACCAGCCTGGACGAGAGACTGATGCACACGGCGATGATTTTGTACAGGTTCCTCGGCAGCGCCGGATACGAGAACCGGTTGACGATTTCGAAACTCAGCTCCGTGGGAGCCACCATGCTCAGCGGTATTTCCATGTCTTTGGCCAGTAGCGCTTCCAGCAGTCTCAGGCCCTGACAAACGTTCTCCGGCAAGTCGGTCATCACCGCGCTGATGTTCGCGATCCCGCCGCTCGCTTGAGAAAACAACTGCTCGATCTTATGATGCAGAGCATCCCAATAGTTGGCTTTGGTACGAAACAAGACCACTTCCTTCTCGCTCGACAGCACGAAGATGTTCTCGCGAACACAATTGTCCGGTATGGTAAAGGAGTTCCTTTGAATTACGCATTCCGCTTCGTACGGCTGTAGCGGCTTGCTGCAATCTCTCTGCCGGGGAATCTCTATAGTCAGCGATGGCAGATTGTCCAATTCCGAGGCGATCTGAATATTGAATATTTGGTGAAACGAATTCAATGCGTATAATAATTAATGCACGTTACCTTCTCGGCGCTCGCAACGGTCGTGGATGCCAGACCGATAGCTATGCTGGTTAAAGGCTCGAACTTGTAGGGATACAATTCAGCGGCAACTTTGTAAATCGGCCATAAACCCTCGTCCCGCTCGTCCCAGAATCGAGCCGCGCATTCCGGAAACTTGACGGCAGCGGCCATCGCGTCGAAGATGCCGTTTAAAGCGCTCAGCCGATCCTCGTCGATGAAGGCACACACCAAAGTGAGAAGATTGTAAACGCTGCTTCGCGCCACTTCGGCATAGTGGGTCTCTTCTTGAATCATCTCGGAGTTCAGTAAATCTTTCAGGTAGTGAAACACGTCGAGCTGTATGGCCTTGATGCCGAAAGGTCTGAAGCGATTTAACACATCTATGTTATCCGGATCGATCGCGTAATTAGCCAGCATCCATGACAGAAGCAACGGCCCGTCCTGCGGTAAATTTTCACGGACGCACTTGCGTTCAAAGGTTTCCTGCATATTGCCTCTTACGTTAGTTATCCAGTTTTCCATAGCAGTGCTGAAAAATAATGCGCACAAACAAGCTGCGAATCCCTCTTAATTATGCGAAATAACAGCGAGCTAACTTACTGCTTCCTGACGTCCATAGCTACAAGTAGTAAGGCTACCTGACTGTACTGTATCTCTTCGATCTTTTTAATTATAGCTTCCTTGTCCTCGTGACTCTTTGTACTTGCTAAACGTCTAGGTTCACCCTGATAATAATATATTTCAATAACATTAAAGCGAAATCTTCCGAGTGTACAAGATATATATGGAATTTTCAAGTCTTACCCCGATACTTCCGTAAAATTTGGGGAAATCATTATCGGCGACATGAATGTCATGTACAATCACAGTCAGTATATGAAGCAGCTCACGCATTTCGACCAGTGTGCTATTGTATAATCTGTGCAAATGATCTTCTGTACATAATGGCGATCGTACAGGCGCGCTTACGAATTTCAATGTCTCGATCTGCTTTCGTATAGACTCAAAGAGATCTCTCATCAGAATTTTATCGAAAAACTTGGCAAATTCCTTGTGATGAGGATGCCTTTTATTGTCTTTATATTCGATCATGAGCTTCAGGCATTTTATCAAGGTCACCCTCTCGGAGTAGTAAAAACTCCAAATATCATCGATTAGGATTTTCATGGAAGTGAGGTCGGAGAGCTGCGATGCAAAAGTCTCGGCGCAATTTCTGTATTCATAGGAGACGAAATTGCATACGAGATCCCAAGTAATCGTAACATCCAAGTTCTGGTGAATAAAAAATACTGTATATTATCGCGCTAGAAAATTATCATGATAACAATTAAATATATATTTTGTGATTCACACATTATGTGATACACATAGAGAGTTATGCACAAATATAGAATAAGATACTTACAAGAAGTGGGGCTAATCTACTAATCAAATCATACATCTGAGCAAGAGGAGGAGGATTTCTCTTAGAAATACTTTGTAACGATTCATCTGTATACGGCTTGAAAAATTGGAGCCCTTTCTTGAGTAATATGGTACTATTGTTTATTTCATCTTCAACAGTATCACTAGCACAACAACACGTTGTGGCTGATATTATAGACCAAAGTTCTTTGCTACAACTTTTCATAAATTATTATTAGATTTATTTTCATGGATATATATATATATATATATATATAACACCATCATACAATATTGAGAGTATAAAATTTGTCAAGACAATGTCAATAACGAATGTACTTGCTTTAAAAAAAATTTGAAAACAAAAGGTTGCATGTACTTACGGCAAATTACCCATCGGAGCAACTTCCATGTTGATAGTATTTTTATTGTACTCAAGATTGTTTATAAACCTTTAAATACGCTTCATACGTTGGTAAATAAATATATTATACCTTACAATTCTAATGGCTTGTTAAGATACACTGCAACAGAGGACACGTAACCTCATATTTATCATATTGGCGGGTAACGTGAAGCGCACAAAGTACGGCTGCTCCATCGTTGAGTCATCACTACAACTTCAATTTACCGGTAGAAACCACTTAGCAGAGACTCAAACCTTTTATCATTTTAGTTTCCCGAGTTACTGCTAAATGACGCTGAATAGTTTATTGGCTAGTCACTGGTTATATTGGATAATCCCGTTAGATGGCACCAAATAGGCCGTTACATGCCGGAGCAATTAACGAACATCAATATGAGAGAAAGAAAAAGACAGCATGATATACCCGGCATTTGCTTAACTAATCTGCTTTCCGCTTTATCCAATTATTAATGGAAAACGAACGTGCACAGAATCTTTCAGGCGTATTATTCTTCTATTATATAAGCTTCTCAATTCTAAAAATTCAATATTACTCTCTCACATTATTCGCGATGTACAACCTTTAATATCTCATTCTTCAATGAAATAATTTATTTCCACATTTCAAGATGTTAAGATTCTCAAATATTTCGCATACTATTGATTGAGCAATTAATACAAATAAAATCATTCCAACGGATGATGGATTCGTGTATCATATGAACGGAGGGCGGCGTGTATCGATATCGACTTCGAGAAACTCAATCATTGCAATATTCAGTCAGTTCCGGAAGGGTCCGCGACGCGGTAGTGACGGCTCGATCAATCCTTCCGTGTTCATCGCGATTTCGGCTCGTCGAAGGCGAGTCTCGCGGCCGAATCGTTGCCGGGAGTGTCGGAAATAAGTTCCGCACGTGTGTCGCGATGAGACGTCGTTAAACAGACATCGTAAGTGGACGTCTCGCGAAGTATAGCTTCGGTAGTGCCGAGCACTGTCGTCCGTCGGTTACGATCATGGCGGCTCTCGAAGTTCAAATAAAAACGGTCGGAGGAGCGTCGCTCCACGGATCATCACTTGTCTCAAGCTGTACAATAAGACAGAAAAAATAACAGGGATTTCGCGAATATTATGGGCGAATTAGCTTTTTTCCTTAATAGAAGTGGTTTCTCTTGCGATATTCTTCGTCTTTTAATACCCGTCAACATAGGAGGGACGACGAAACTTTATGGGAAAAACAAGGTACGATAAGCACACCGTATATATCATTTTGAACAATATGAAACCTTACGAGTTGTTGTTCCTGACCGCTCGAGAGAATTTCATTTTGTGTTCACTTCACGGAATGACTTTCGATCCTGTCCCGTTCACAAAACGGTCACGACGCTTGAATGATTGAATGGGGACGCATTCCTTATAAAAATATGCCACATTACATACGACGTACATCGGAAAAGAAAAGGTCTTGATGACCAATGACCGCCATTCCGTAGGCATTAGAGAGCGAGTTATAGCACATAACACGTGCACGGGAGAAAAATCATCCTGCGAGAGGGGATGAAGAGGGCGAACGCCATTCTGTCGTGAACATTTATCACACTTAAGATCCGCGACTCATCCGCGAGATATTACGTGGTATTAGATGACGTGTAAGACGCGGTTCGCGGAAGTGCCACGAGCAAAAGCGTACATCGTGTTTTGTTGTCGCGACATCGTGACGTCCCGCCTTTTGCTGGATGACGCGAGATTCTTACCGGACGGCTTTTCCCATAATTCCTATGTGTTGCCGACAATTTCCGACGAATCGAGATTATATTCGTAACCGGGATCGGACGTTCAACTGTAAAATACAATAGTTTACGTCTGTGCGTATACAATATAAAGTATGCGTAAAATGAATTATATTTACACAGAAAAAAATATTTTACTTTCGAATTTACTTCCATAAACTGGCAAGTGAATTTAAATGATACAATTTCTGTATTATCTATCAATATTTTCAATATTTTCAATTTTTAACATGAAATATCTTTATAATTAACATCAAAGTACATGAACTGTTTTATAATCTAAACTAATTTAAACTAATAATTTATTCTTTCTCTTTGCTTTGTGCTATATAATTTATAATATTTCATACAGTTTATATTGTCTACATGAAAAAAAACCTGTGATCCATAAACGTCAAATAGATAATATGTAAATTATTAATTATGTCGACGTAATCTTAGAATCTTAAAACACGAGGAAAGAAATAATTTGTTAACAAGTTTTAGGCTATCGCAAGAAAATCTATCAGTTACTGTATGGACAGCAAAATAATTTGTCAAATTTTTAGAGACAAATGTAGGTAAATACTATTTTGTTCTAACAGAAAATTAATATATCCTAAGGACAAATTCACTCAGCAGAATATTTTTTATTCCGGTAACAAAACTGTTTCCGCTGTAATTACGAATAATTCGCTAATTTAGTTATGCAAATTAAATTTTATCGCTGTCGTAACTAATACGCAGTAGCAACGATGGTTTCGCTGCGACAGCAACATTATTTTTCCCCGTGTACGGCACAACATCTCGCTCGTAACCGCCTCTCTCCGTTCCGTTTGTTCTCTATCGTTCGGCGTCATTAAACGACCGTTTATGCGAATCATATAACTTATAATCACACGTTGCCTGAATCCATCAAAGCGCGGTAGACGATTACCTTTAATTGCAATTATGTACCCCGTCGTTATTACCGTCGCGCGCCGTTCGCCGAGAAATAAAGACCAGTTTCCTCGGATAGAGGAGTGTCGAGCGTTGTAAAAAAAGAAAGAAAGACGCACAAAGAGAAAAAAGGAGGAAAAAACAGACTGGTTAATATTCATAGACCAATCGTCGGCTCCGCGATTATTATTACTTGCACCGCTATTGTCCGGCGTTTCGAGTTGCTGCTCGTCGACAATATCGACGGTGTAATGTACAGCAGCGGCGGGATAAATTCGCAGCACGTAACTGCGGTTGTGTTAATTAACTCTTTACAACATCACCAATTAAAAATCATAAACTGGATCCGAATGAGCGGGGGCCGGCGGGGTGGACGAGGGGGGCGGGGGACAACGGGAAAATTCACTTGCGGGAAAGCGACGGCAGCGGCGGCGGCATCGGTCGTCGTGTCAGGGCGCCGACGCGGGCCGCGTCGCGGCGCCCGGTGCCGCCGCCGCTTCGGAGACGCTGATCGTCGCGGCCACCGCCAGTGCACGTTCGTCTTGAACGCAGGGCGCTTCGCGTGGCTTCATCGGTGGCTCCTCGTCGCGGCGCGTCCGAGCGCTGTGAATACTCTCGAGAAAAGAGGAAAAAAGAAAGATAGAAAGAGAGAGAGAGAGAGAGAGAAATACTGCACTGTGTGCGCTTCGTTGTGCGGCACGATGTCGGCACGACGTGCGTGACGAAGAGAGACAGGAGAGAACGAGAGGAAAAAAGAAAGAGAGAGAGTGAGAAAGAGAGAAAGAGAGGACACCGTCGCGATTACTATGCGAATCGTCGCGGTCGTCGTCGGCGTCGTGGCGAAAGTTTCCGTAGATCGATCGCACCTGCTTGCAGAGCGTTCCTCGATGCCGACGGCAGCGATATTTCTTATCTCCTTATCTTCCCCCTAACACCGTTGACACTGCATCGTTTTCACGCGCCTCCGATCGTGCATCTCTGTGAACTCACCTGGACGGAAGAAGGAGATTCGTGTGTGGCGACAGCCGGCGGTATGCTGGTCGCGCGAGACCGTACGATCTGTAACGCGGCTTTGTAACAACAGATGCGACATCACGTTAACATCGCCGTAAGTGCGTGTAATTCGCTCGTTCGTATTCGCCTTGCGGATTCGAGCCGTCTTCTTTTTACACGGGTGACGAACGAACGAATGAACGAACGGACGATCGGACGCTCTCCTGCGTTTGCAAAGGATCCCTCGAAAGGTCTCTCGAGCGCCGAGCACTCGACGAATCTCCCCCGGCGCGTTCCCTCGCGCGAACTCCCGTGGTTATATTGCGTACTTGTTGCTATTAAAAATCGTTTCCCCCCGGAATTTCCCTCCGGAGATGACAATCTCGCGGAATTCTCGGAAACACGCCGAACGCGAGCGACTGAGCGATGCAAAGCGCAGCCCCGTTGACGAACAACCCCCGGACGTACTCCTCGTAATTGCACTCGCGCGCATGTTTTCATAACGCGTCGACATCGCGGCTCTCGTTACCGTCTCGATGCGTCCGTCGGGAAATGCACGCGAAGAGAGAGAGAAAAAGAGTGTCGTCCTCTTCGCGCGTCCACGCGTTATACCGTCCCGCTCGCGAGAGGCATTCTCTCGCGTTTCCACCGGCGACGTCTCGAAATGCAGCCACTTCACTCGTCCGCGGGCGTTCGGCGGTATTTCCGAGCCGGGGCGAGTGTAACGCGTGTAATTTAAGCGCAAACCCGCCCGCTCCACCCGGTGACGCTCTCTTTGATGAGCTCCGTCGCCCCGTGGCACGCGTTACCGTTGTCCTCGAATAAGCCATCCTCTGTTCCGCAGATCAGTGCGTGATCGCTTCACCGCGCGCTCTTTTCGCCTCAGTGCGATCCTGTTCGAACGAACCGCTCGTGAACGGTGCTTTGCCCGATTCTCTCACGATTTCCGCACATCGTCCAAGTTACTGCCGGACGCGGGAAACCGCTCTGTTTGCCGAAAGTGGCTGTGATTCCCTTCCTCTCAAGTTTCGAGGCACGATATTGAATGGAAAGGTTACGATACTTCTTCTTGATGAGCTTCACAACGCACCTTGCGTATCCAATAGGAAAATATATATCTTTGAGAATAACTAAGAAACAAATTCCCCTATTGTGAACACGGGATGCGTCCCGAAATTTATTCAAAAGAAGTGTCGCAACTTTTTGTCAGCGAGGATACCACGAACGATGCTTCGACGATCAGTGTCTCGACGATCGCGTGAGGAATATGTTTACGTCGCTGTCGGATGCATTTCGGTGTTCGTGAATTTCGTTCGTCGTTCGTCACCGAGGATCGTCGCGAGGTTTTCACACGGATCCGAGGAACGACGAATATTTCGCGTAAAGCGCGCGATTCAATATACATGTAGAATCCGAGATCCGAGCGACGCGAGGATATTACTGCTACACCCATCCGTGTCGTGCATTGCCCTTAAACTATTTAGGCCCCGTTTACTTTGCGCTTTTGAAACGCGCGTTTAACTCGATACACCTTATGAATGTCTTATGTTCCCGCGTGCCTCCCCTCCCTCCTCCGCCGCACTGAGAGGGAAATATTTGGTATTTGTAACTGTAATCGTGGTGAAAAATTATAGTCGGATGAAAGAATCGCATTTTTTCTAAGTAAGTGTTACTGTAGTGTCAGTGATAACAACCTTTATTTAACTGATATTATTTTTGCTTATTTGTTTTATTAATCGATGCTATTATTTTTGCGGTTAAAACTATGAAAAAGTTATAGTTAAGGTCAAAAATAACAATAATCCCTCTCAATGTGACACGCGAATACGGTGGAATCGAGGAGAATCATTTTTTTTTAAAGTGTTACTATTAGTGTCAGTGATAACGATCTTACATGTAACTATACTGAGAAACCCGTTGAGTTGATTGAAACAAAATTGTTTCGATATGGGCGAACGTTATGGATAAATATTTTGGTTACGAGAACTAAAATTTTGTTTTCTCCGAAACGAAAATGAAAAACATTCGGAGAACCGAATTTTGGTTCTCACAAGCAAAACATTTGTTTGCCCACGGCCAAACAAACATTTTGTTCGAGTCAACCAAATGAGCTTCTCACTATTTTTGCTTATTTGTTTTATTAATTGCTGTTATTATTTTTGCGGTTAAAAGGGGCATGTATAGTTCGGGTCGAAAATGACTATAATCCTTCTCTCAATACGACACACACACACACACACACAAATCCGACGGGATTGGTTTCGGGACGACACGCCGGAGACGAGCGCGGGGCGTCTTTGATGCGGTACACGCGGTTTCATCCGCCGTCCGATACGACGTCCGCGAGCGACTCGCGAACGAGACGACGGCATCGCGGATGACGCGCAAGCGGTCGTTCTCATGTTTTCACCATCTCCACCTTTCGTTCGCAGTGCTAATCTCTACCCGGGATCCCCGAGTTTATCATTAACGCACGGCACTCTTCCGACGGCGGCTTAACACCCCCCGATCGTTATCCTCTCGCCCGGATGAAATGGGTGCACGCGATATTGCCACGGCGAGCGGTGAAATGTAGACAGAAAAGGGCCCATTTTCCTCCTCACGTTTCCCGGACATTGCTCAACGGTGCGGAGTTCTCCGCAGGATACGTCGCGGTCGTCTCTCGCCGCGTCTCTCGATGGACACCTCCTAACTCTCGGCGAGAAGGAGAGAAATTCGCGTTGTCGTGCGCGTGTGTAACGAATCGCCGATGCTGAATGACGTGAATTATAGCGGGACGAACTGAGAGAAAGAGAGAAAGTGCGATGGACAAGCTCGGCTCGTAATCGTGCCGGGAAGACACTACGAGTATAGGAGTGTTCGAGGAGGAGGAGAACAAATCGACGGGCGAGTGACGAGCCGTCGAGATCGAGAGGGCCGAGAGCAAAATGAGGGCCCCGTTGCTCCTCTTGGGCGGCATTGTTGTACTGTCGCTCGCGGTCGCGAGGGCTCTCTCGTGTGTGTGCTCGCCGCTGGAGTGCGACGTTCTCACCAACGAGGACTGCCCCGGAGGCCTCATCTGGGACCCGTGCAGGTACACGTTTACCCTTCGTTGTCCGCGCGAAACGATCGCGACAGCGACATCAACTGATCATTCTTCGGAACGTGGCGAGCGCGTTGCGTTCTATCTCCTTGCTTCAGGAGACTTTAAGTTTGTTTCCTATTCCTGCACCGGGACTGCACTATGAACTGAACTGAACTTCAATATTCTGGCAAATATTTATTAGAAGCAGGAATATAATTGACTACGTACAATATATCTCCTATATATAAGACATTTACTTGCATGTGTTAAAACAATTGCGAAGATATTAAATTTATAATATTGAAAGTGTCAGAATTTATTTCTAGGAAATATTCTACCGGACAGAGGAATTTAAATTTAAAACTGCTGGGGGGTTTCTTCAATGAAAAAAAGATATCGCGTAATTAATCAGCAACTTCTATATCTGAATGTTAAATGCTATATATTAAAATATAAATATATATTGTAGTTTTTTCAGTTTGGCAAAGCCCCTGTTTTCATACTTATTATTTAACCTTTGTTTCGATAGATGTATAGTAGACGTTTAAAAGTGTAAACTTTCAAAATAGAAACAATAAAACGTAACTTTGGTCATATGAGTGTATGTGCTTCGCACATATCATGAACATTGAAGTGAAAATATAACAATTTAATGATATAGGCAATGATATATAACGATACAGGCTACTTGATATCTCTCGCATTCTTATTCGGAAGTGCTGTTTCAACTGTCCTTGCACCTCTTGCACTAGACTCTAGACATAATGCAGTCAAGTTGGTGAACTTTTGCACTTAGTTCCGCTGCACTGGAATAAAAAACAGAGTGTCCCTGACACCAGTTGTGGAGTAGAAAACACTTCAGCATGCATTTCTTGAACTAGTGCCAGCAGTTTGTGCAGGGATGAGAAGCAAACCTTTCATTTTACTTCATACGGGTGGGATATTCGCGTATTTCGATATATTTTAGATTTTCTCGGCTTACGTCGGCAGATTTCACGTGAAATTCCACGAAGCGAAGCGGTTATTCGCGAGTTTCGCGCGTGACACTCGCGCCTCGCAGCAGTTGTGTCCACGGACAACTACAATTACGCAATGAAGCCCCGCGGGTGTTTTAGTCTACTTCGCAATCATCAAAATTCATTAAAACAATTTATGGAGCGTGAGGAGAACTGACCGATCCGTCGTCGGAACGATATCGCGCGATATTCGTACAATTAGCACGACTGCGTCTTATTCGCGAGATTTTTTTCTGTGCCATGCGAAGGCACTGGTAATTTCTGCTTTGACCATAAAATCGGACTCTTTGTGTTCGGTCGGCTGATTGTGTGCTCCACCATGCGTCTTGCAATTAGCCTAGTACAGCAAGCAATTAAAATACGTGTTACAATAAGTCTCTACCCGCGTAATTTTTTCCCGCGGACAGCAAAGAATTACGCTCTCTGTTATTCATCCGCCTTTGTGCGCTCCCTGCGAGAATTTCGTTTCCGCGACTCATTGGTGGAAAATAACGAGAGTGAGCGCGCGTATGAATGTATATGTGTGTTTCATATGTGTGCACATGTATGGACTATAAGATGGTTTATCTTATAGTCCATACATGTGCACACATGGTTTATGCGCGGCGTAAAAGGATCGAATGCGCTAAGAGTAGCGCGACCTCGAAACGTTCTATTACGCGATAGCGTTTATCATCGACGCGTTTCGGTATCCACGGTAGCCGACATGTTGCGAGATCCATGCCCTTGGGTCTATTTTCACCCGTCTGTGCATACAAGCACGCGAACATTGTGATGCCGCCGCATATACACACTCGTGTACTGAGTATAAATTCGAGCGGAAACGGGTGTCCGCGAGTGCACCTGAGTTTTAGGCGTTCTCGCAGTGTTTTACGAGGCACGTACGAGCGATCTGTGATGCACTGGAATATATCAGCCGCTGTTTATAAATAATCGCGAAGCCCCGAAATAATGCAGATCTAAATCACGCAGCGGAGCGAATTTAATAATGCGGCAGAGGGGGGAGAGAAGAAATTCGCGGAAAGAATTCTCTCTCTCTCTCTCTCTTTCTCTCTCTCGCTCGAGTAAATAACTTACATTAACATCGCGACGGGTTATAGTCGTGCTTAAATACGCACGGGGTGTGAGCCCCGCTTTCTCGTAATTTGTATTCATTTCATAAATTACCCGTGAAGAAATAACGTTATCATTAATTATTATTAGTCAAGTAAAAGCCGCGTTAATGTGGCCGTAAGGTATAACGTATCGTGATATACAATCGCATCACATGATGAAGCGCGTTACGCGAACTGCGATCCCCGCGAATAATGGCGCTGCTTTTCTAATAAAAAAAAAAGGATTGAATAACGACGAACAGGTGTATCACCTTTAACAAATATTTGTGAGCGAAATCCCACCAAGATAAATTCCACTTGGCGCGAGCTCGCATGAAGTACGATTGATGGCGATTCGCCGCGCGACTCCCCGATAACAATGCACTGTAAAATCAGATTGATGCGCGGGTGTCGATGCGTGGGTGTCTTGGGTGAGTATATTTATATAAGGCGAGAGGAAAGAAGACGGTATTGTGTGGTGCCGCGGCGCGACCGACGGAACGGCACTCCAGCGACAGACTAACCTATTTGTCGCGGGAAACGACGTTAGATCTAGATTCGTGGATTAGATTTTTCTCCCCGTGGCGTGTACTCCCTGCATAGAAATTTTCACGGCTTTTCTCCACATAGCATAGATTGTAACATAGATTCCGATTAGAACATCAACATCATAAAGATGTTTCAAAGTAGGTTATCTCATTCACGATTCCAATTGGAAATCCCATTTTTATCCTAAATATGAGACAAAACTTTTTTCGCACGATGCTGGTTCTTGCATAGAAAATTTTTTGATATCTAATTGGGATCTCAGTCCGATTTTCCAAAATAATTATGGATTCTAGTTGGGAAATCTACGCAGATTTTTGGTTGGAAGTGTAATTTTTTAAATACACTAAGTAGAACTTACGTAGATATGTCCCAAATGCGAATCTATAATTATATTTTGAAAAATCCCGGCCGGGAATCCCAATTAGATACCAAGAGATTTTCCATGCGGGTTGCAACGCGCTCACGTGCGGATATCTGGAAATTAAATTCACCGGAATATTTAAGCGTTGAAGTTTCCGCAACGGAGCCATAAGAGCGAAAATCTCCGCACGTAGATAAGCATATAGGTCAATCTCGATTAGATATTGCTATTAGACGCGTACTCGCTTCGAGACGGCTTCGGTGAAGCTCGTAGCTTCAGCCATTTCGGTTCAGATGTATTACACGACCAATCGGAGAGCCTTTCATCTTTTCCATATTCTTGAGTAGAAGACGGATAAGAAGATGACCCTTCGAACCGCAGCTTCTCTCCCGCGGCGATACGCGAGATGTGCGGAGCAAGAGATCGGGAGAATTCATTCTCTCTGTTCCTTTTTCTCTCGGTGAATCTTTGCGATCAGGAAAAGTTACTCGTGAGATGAACAATTTCGACGGTAATTGCTTTTCGAGAGACGCGAGACGAAGATCGGTGCAAGCGTGTGCGAGCGCGCATGAGAGAGCGAGAATCGAGTAAGAATCGGTCTCGGATTTGAGCACAGCGAGATCGACGTGTGATTTATGGCGTTGGATTAAATAGAGAGAACGTCTCTCGAGTAAGAGATCCGAATGCGAGCGGATCGAAACATAAGAAGAGACACTCGCGTTATCGGTAGATTCTTTAAGGACGATTTACTCGTCGGATCACAAAGACGGCTTGCTTGCAAAATCCACGCGAGACTTCGGGAAATCTTCGCGCTCACGCGCATGCAACCGCAAAAGCTTACATAACCAAGGAATATTTCACTTCTCAATCGTTCTCCCCTCTCCCTCCCCTCTCTCTCTTTCTCTATTTCTCTCTGTAACCCGGCATTACTTCATCCCGCTCATACATCCCTCGATATTTCAGCATACGCGCGATAATACACTCGCGTGCGTCGATACGATATGCTGGCTCGAAAACGTCGGAATTGAATTTCAAAGGGAACGTCGCGCGTGCGCACGGAAATGGAGGAAGAATTCTCCGGAGTAGCCTCGGACAGTTATAGCCATCCTTCCCGAAGGACCTTCGCGAATTCAATAGGTGTACCTAACGTTTATTGCGCGGTGAAATTTCCGAAAGGGAAGTTCTTACGGGAATCTCAACGAGAGCGAAAGAGAGGGGGAGAGATAGAGTGGATCTGGGGGAGGAAAACCGGCGGCCATTGCCGTCTGGGATCGCTTCGATGCGATACCGAGAGATAGTCTCGGGTAATTTCGATGACGATACACGCAGGTAATTCGACGAGGAGGAGGACGACAAGGAGGAAGGGGAGCGCGAGAAGAAGGAAAAGAAGGAAGTAGTAGTCGAGCGCGCCGTGTACGGCGAGAGTGTCGCTTTATGCAAATTTTCCGAACGTCGACGAGACGAGTCGAGTCGGCCGGGCAGCTGGCAATACCGCGGATCATATCGGCGACGTGCCGGTAAATTGTTGCCGTCATTAAACCGACCGCAACGCCGATATTACGCGCGTTACCTTTTTACGCGCGAGTCCGCTCGCTCCATTCTGCGTTATTCCGTTTCATACGGCGATATCGATACCGTGATACGAGAGAGACAGAAAGAGAGATGTCCCCGTGCAATTCCCGCGGCTGCGCCAGCGGCAGCTATCTGTACGTAACGCATTTCAATGAAATGCTCTCCCGCTCCTCGTAAAGTCTCCGGGCGTAACGTTAAACGCCGGGTACCAGACTGTTTGGAATCTGAATCGCGTGCAACCCGTTGTCTCAATCGCGCGTTCCACGCACGCAGCCGAAGAGTCGCGTGCAATCGCGCGAATCCCTCTCTCTCTCTCTCTCTTTCTCGTCGAGTGTAATTTTATCATCCCGGCAAAGTCGGAAAAGGTCGCATTACGATTTTCGGTGAGAAACGCCGGGAAAACGCTCGTTCTCGGAAACGGCGGTGCGATCTCCGGTTGAAAATTCATCGCGCGCTCGATCCTAAGTAAATCGAAGTAATCCCTGATGCAACTTGGCGATGTTTCGAAGGAGGCGGAGCGCATTGTGCGAGCGGGAACACGAGAAATTATTATTTCTTCTCTCTAAGCCGGCTTGTGCCCAGCTGAGTGCCCTTTTCACCGGACGACGCGATTGAGTTGTTGTGGGAAACGTGCCGTCGTTCGCGGCGGGAATATTCGTCTTTTCAATCCTGGCGAGAGAAGAAAAAAAGATCGATCGGGCTTGTAAATCGAGCGCGATTCACGCCGTATTTCGCGATATTTCACGCATAGGCCTGCGCTCGCCTTTCCGCTCGGCTATTGTGCACTTGTTCCTTGTTTTCAGCGCGATTGGATTCGCCGTGCTCGCCCGGAAATTGGCAACACGCGGCAGCGCGCGTTCCTCCGCGATATAATGACAAGCGAGCGTACATATACAAAAGGATATACACGGAGGGCCACGGAGGTAAAACTACACGCTCGACGGCGTATCGGGAATTTATTGGGAAATGTTTAGCATGCAACGCCATTGTCGGGGCCCGGCGGTCGGGTATGCGAATTAGGAATCGCCGGTAGGAACAAATTGCTCTTTTCTTGCCGCACGCAGCGGCAGGTGCATAAATAGCGGGCGGGCGTTTCATTATTCTTCGTCCGGTGCGTCGCGCTCCGATCTATCATCATAAACACGTATACGACGACATTGATCGTGGCAAGGGGTGTAAGATAAATTTGCAGCGCGTCTTTCGGACGAGGTGATCCATATTCTCCGAATTAATTACTCCTCAAAGAGTGCAGCAACGTGTAACATAAGAAAGCGAGATGAATAAAAGTACATGTATAGATGCATCTACTTTGAAAAGAGGATCTGATAATAAGTACTAAAATTGTCGAAAAGTTTGGTGAAAATAAGTACTAATATTTGCCGGCCAAATGTTTGATTACTGCAACCAAATAACTTAGTTCCACATACTGTATATACAGTACCGTAGTTCCGTATATTGTATATTTAGTATAAGAGATTAAATTATGTTGACACTGAGGTATCAAATGTATTATTTTAATACTTACACATGTTGAATATCGACACATTTTAGAGCGATTCTAATCGGAATCTATACTGTACATAAGAAAATCTATGAAAATTTCTACACAACATGTATGTCTGAAAGACGTGCCTCAAAGACGTCTTTATAACGTCTTAGCATGTCTTAATATCCTCTGGGTTTTTATGCCGGTACGTTTCTTCCATCTTTAAATTCTGCACACCGCTATATTTTCTCGAGGGATATTCGCATACATTTGCAATTTAATATCGCGAGTGTGTAATTACTTGCAATTTGTACATTTACGGTGTCGTCAATTACGTTGCTCGACAACCGGCGGTGTATCGCCGCATTTTACCGTCGTACTTTCTAAGCTGCCCGTTGCGTTACTTTCTTCTCCGTGCCAACCGTGTCTTGCATCATACAGGCGTGGAACTGAAAGGTATATAAGAGTGGATTGTTTCGCGGAAAACGGCAACGAAGCAGTAGGAGAAGAAGACTTGCCTGCCGTCGAGACGACGTAATAAAATTCCTGGTCGCGGTTGACAATTTTCCGCGAGATTATTTTCCGCGCGCGCGCGCGTGGCGCACCGCCTGCGCGCGCCTTGAAATTCCACCCGTTCCGTTTTTTCCCGTCGCTCCGGAACTTCGTAAGACTATGTTCTCCGACTGCCGCCGAGCATACCGGACGCGCGAAAGTGATATGTACTCGCATAATACGTGGGAGCTTTTCAATTTCTTACATCTCTCGATTCTGTCAAGTTTCCCCGGGATAAAAATGCAAATACCCACTTGCGCACCTGCGGGGAGTTTTGCAAGTCGGCTTGTAAATCTCGCGTACGGCGGCGGTATCACGTGATCACACGAACGCCACGTTCTGAATGAATGTTGAAATAATTTGACGAAAGAAAGCTGTCTCATTCCGACGGCTATAAATATCATCGAGGAAAGTGTCTCATCGAAGCGACGGCAGTTAGTTTCCTCTCGATGTATTCCGATAAAAGTCTTGCTGTTTCAGAGGAGTCCCGGTAAATACGAGTGGCGCTAAATATAACGCAGATTCCGAGCCACGCACGGCAACAAAGCTGATTTCAGCGAGAGACTTAAAATTACCGCGACGGTGAAACATTGAGAGATTCTTCATAATGTATTTACGTAAAATCCATCTCGCTTTTATACGTTCTCGCGTATTTCAGGAGCGTCTCCTCCTCGCCGAGCCCTCTCGCCCCGAAAGTTTTATTTTCTGACAAATGTGAAAACGGGCTTACGGCGCTCCTCTCAGAGCTCCCTAATGGGCTCATATCATTGTCCCCTCTCCCCTTCCCTGTCCCCCAACATCCAACCCGGCTTTGAAAAGAGACGCGGTCAGAATTGTATCTTTTTGTCTCACGGGGTGTAAGGAAGATCTAAAGCAGATATAAAGCCGTTATAAGAAGCGCTTTATATCTTTAAAGCGCTTGTATCCTCTTGTCGCCCGCAGGATTTCTTATAACAGAACAAATGGCCATATTCGAATCGACGGAGACCAGCTGGCCGCGATGCACATGTAACCGCTGCTCTCTCGTTCGTTTCATCTACCTTATCGTTTTTTATACTGCATATATATATATATATATACACGCCAGCAATTTTCTACCGTTCGCTTCCCGCCAGTAAAGGAGGAGGGAAAAACGGAGAAAGGAAAGAGAGAAAGAAAGAACAACGGATCGAGGCTCGATGATTCACTTGGGCACAAGAGTCGGATATTGCGAATAAATGTTACGAGCGTGCAACAATAGCAACGGGAAGCTAATAATACCGTTCGCTTATGTATCGCGCCGGGGTAAACTTTTCTTCCATCTACCGGTAATGCACGCAAACGTACGAAATTCCGCAACGGCAACAGGGAATTAATAAAAAAAAAACCCCTTTCTTCTCGTCGGCTTACAGAGATATTATGAACAATCAAGATGGGTCGGACGCGTCGATCTCGCTGCGATGTCGGTCCTATAATTATAGCTTCCTACTCGAGTTGCTTTATCGGCTTCCAGAGCCGCCTGTCGCGCGATTTAACTTGCGCGTATCGACAAACATGCTCCGACGTCGCTATATTTATTCCACGCGTATGCACGTATATATACGCGCCGTATGCGACCGTCTGATCGTGTTCTCTATGTTTGCAGATGCTGCAAAGTATGTGCGCGCGTGGAAGGCGAGCCTTGCGGCGGCCTCTTCGGTTTCTCCGGCAGCTGCGCCGTCGGCCTGCAATGCGTAATCGTGAATCTGCTGCCCCGCACCCGGGAAATGGACGAGGGTGTCTGCACGAGTGAGTATTTACGGCGGGGGATTTTGATAGAAATTGAGAATGTCGAGCGACAGGAAGGAAGGCGGTGTGGCCCGTCATGAAAATAAAATGTAATCACTTACGGGCGAGCGCGCGTTTCGAGTTCGTACGCCCGATACGCGTATGCTATACGGTTACAACGCCGATAGAAATGCTAAGGACGCCCATCTCGCTGTGACACCGGACTGTTGGCCGCGCAAACTTGCCGCGAAATATAACCGCCACTCGCCGATAATGAAACCCGGAGTTTTTCCGCTTGTTATTTCAACGATAAATTACATTAACGCGCCAAAGCGTCATTCGCGATCCCGCGGCGTACCGTTGTGTCTCGTTCTGCTGCGTTTTCCGTTTTCCATTAAGACAGTTGGTTTGTCAAATTATTTGCTCAGGAATCCTTTTGAATTTTAGCTTCACATCGACGGAAATATACGTCCGCAAATACGCAAATATTTATATACTTTTTATAATGTATGCACCTCTATTAACTCAACTGACGTACAAATGAAATATTAACATTTAAGAAAAATTAAAAAATTAATAATATCTCCGCATGTATAATATTGCGCGTATATTTGTCTTAATTTCGCGTGCTCAAAATCAACATTTATTATTTAGATAATTCAATTAAATCATCGGAAAAATTTTTTTTTTCGATAAATAAACTCACGAAGAGACCCCTTGATATCGTCATCGATATCGTCACTGAAAATCTGGCAGCACGGACTTAACTATCTTAAATCCATCGGTTAAGTTGTGGAAGCCGGGGTGAAGTGTAGGCACACGTTTGCACATATCGCTCCCCGTGGCCGAAAATGTTTAAATTCTTTTAGCAATGGTAATAGCAGTTTTACACGCATATAATTCCCGCGTGCAATAAGAATTACTCTTGTATATTTCTCGGCATACGTTCGCGCTAAATGTACGGAAATAATACGGTGATTGTTTTCGCGTAGCAGAGAAGCAGGTGGCAATGGTCGCATTTAATAAGCGCAAAATCGGCAATAAATCTCTTCGCGCGAAACGCTTCGCGTGCACGATTATATCGCGAATGTTTGTTTCGTCGCCCCTTTCGGTTTATATCCTACGGAGATAATTGAACGGCTTGTGTTGTTCCCGGATATAATTGGACGGCTTGGACGCAAACGAAACTGATCATTAATGACGGGTGATGATTGCATACCTCCGAGCCATTATTTCACAATTTTAACACGCTCGTTGTGTATGTAGGCGTGCGTGCGCGTCAAGAGTGCGAAACGATTTATCAGTGACATATGAATATAAAAACGGGTGTTTTGCATTTATTAGTCGATAGATCGAGAGTAAGGATAATAATAGTTCTCCGCCGGGAATATTTACGAAGCATATCGGCAATTTTGCACGTACGAACCATCCTCCAAATGACTAATCGAGTGCATTCGAAGCGCCGTGATATTGTATCCGCCGGCCGTTCATTGTTGTACACCATGTCTTTCCCCCTTTCCTTTTGCGACATCCACTTTACTTTTTCCGATATACAGCAAGGTCAAAGTGTGGGGTAATTGAGGCCGTTGGTTATATGGAGCAACGTAATGATAAAATCGATAGTTGCTGCGAAGTAATTAAAAAACACGCGCGGTACCCGCAGTGAATTGACGCGGTGGCGATACCTCCTGGAAGTCAATGCTCGGTAATATTGAATTTTGCGAGCTCTGAAAACGTGGGAATTCCATGGTGTGTTAATGTACGTGCGCGAGCCGCGCGCTTAAAATTTATATGATGCGAGCAGCAGTTGCATGAGTATGTATACCGCGCGGTATATTAAACCACGCTATGTCGCAGTGGATTTACTAAGCGCAGGCCGTACACACGCAAGCACACACGCACACACGGCGCTTTAAATCGACGATGACGTCGCCGTTTTTATATCGCGCGACTTCTACCACTCACTCGAATTAAAGGACCGCTATGGCGGTCGAGGTCACGGGGAGGAAGGATTGCACCGTCGCTACTTTCCGGAAACTTGGCCGGGACTCACCAAATAGTAAAGTTAGTTTAGACAAAGTCATGTTTGCGTGAATACATTACTTTTCACTTAGAATTTTCCGCCGCGCCTCGTACGTGCCACGTATTGACCCCGTTTCCGCCCGAGAATACTGATTCATTGTCGTTGCGCATGAATCTTCGTTGCGTCTCGTGTCGCAAGCGAGTCGCTTAAGGAATTCGCTTTACATCTCCATGCACCTGTAAATCTAGCTGTTGTATAATTACACGGAGATTAAGATGGTTGTAGTGCAGAATGTCGGATTTTCAGTGACGGTATCAAAGAGTACTTGCATCAGTTATCGTTATTTGCTGAAAAAAATTCAACTTCGAATTCTTATTGAAAATTCGTTTTATGTTACATCCATCATAAATAAAGCGTCGAAGCTTGGCTGTCAACTGTCAGCTGAGAATCTGTCTTCTACAAGGTTCGCAATTGCGTTAATTGTAGTACCAATTTGCTGCTAAATTATTTTCATCCCCTTTATCGTTTATATATTTCGTCAGGCTATATGCTACGAGAAACTAATTTCCCTTCGTGTCCACATGGTTGAAACAGATAAGCCATGTGAATAACCTCAATGTGAACCTCTTCGCGATAACGTCAGATCGGCGCACATCAAGGTATATTACTCTCCATCATATCTCTTCCTTTCAACCTTAAAACTGATAGAGTTTTAAGGTTCGACTTGATCCGCGCGTCGTAACTCGTTATTATTCGTCGTAAAACAAACGGCAGAAATTCAGGAGTGGAGGATTAACCGTTTCACTTGAAAAGCTGCACTACGTACGTATCATTTATTTATACGTGTTTCAGAGAAGAGTCGGTAATTCTGAAACATCCTGTAGACTTTTTAGAGAAACTCCTGTTCTATAGCGTTTTTAACTTTTTTATAAAGATTACTCGAGAACTCTCTTACTTTGTAATTACCATTAAACGTGAGCCTGAACGGCACGACAATGTTTAACGATTCTTTGATCTGATTTACGTATTATCGATATAATTACTTCAAAAAGGATGTTCGCTTTCATTTTCCAATTCATTGAATAATCGACTCGCAGATGCGCGTCCTCCAGGCGCAACCCTTATTCAGTTTCACCGTAGCTCCGTGCACCCCCTCTTTTCCCTCGTCTTTTCCGTTGGCTCGGTGTCCTTTGGCTCCTTTGAAAGTTCTTTACACTTTGAACAGAATCGTACCGGCGGATCTAAAAGTGGGCGATCCGGCACCGCTCGCGAATCTAATTGAGCGATTTTTGAACTTGTTATAACTCGGACAAACTTTGGTCAAACGATGATTTCAAGGACCATGCCGGGGAAAGGAAGTAATTAAGAGGTACTAAGAGCCACAAAATATTTTCACGAAAAATATCCCGGAATCTCTCGAAGAGACTCCAAGTATGCAGCGCGGATAAACTTAGCCCGTCCGGAGTTAATTAACCATTTATATGAAATTTAACCGTTGCGGGTATAATATGTGAAAATTTAATTAAACAACTCGGCAAATAAATTAGGATAAAGTAAACTGACCTATGTCAATCCGATAGTAATAACAATATAATATAGCGGGCTTAATTAAATACAAAGGTATTACTATAAAATTGCTATAATAACGGTATTAATGATAAGTTGCAAATTGAAATTGGTTTCGCGTTATCGTAATTATAGCATCTTTTTGAGCGGATTAATGTAAATTCGAACTGCTCGGAAAACGTTTAAATACAATCGCTCGCATCGCCGACCGCGAATTCGATAATCCACGCGGCGCACTCCTGTCCGCGGCGTCATTTCGAAACGACCACGATAATTGTCAGAAACGAGAGAGAGAGAGAGAGAGAGAGAGAGAGAGAGAGAGATGTAGGAAGGATAATACTGACGTGTTTACTGTTTCGTATTTTATTAACAGACTCGTCGGCAAAACGGATGCGCTGAGTGTCGCCACCGGTCGATGGCGAGGTGCCAATTTGATCGCGCGCAACAGTCACGCGAATTTTCACTCGACTGGAACGCATTCGGCGACCCTTTTTAAAGCGTACGTAGGGACGGATCGAAATACGTAATCGTCAATATTTGGCCCGCATTACACACGCGAGGTGTGATATCACTTTCGCGCGGCGCACCGCGCGAATTCGCACGCGCACGTCCGGGTCGGGGCTTGGCAAGCGTCGAGCCGAAATACGACGACGCGTCCTAGGTTTATCGACCAGCACGGGAACAAGTATAGCTATTTAACGGTGGATTTGACTTGGAAATTTCCCCGGGTCGGTCTCGATTTCGAAATTTCGAGCGAGCTGTCGGAGCGTTTAAACGCGTTTTTTTCTTTTTTTTTCGTCAAACGGCGACGCTTTTGTTTTCTCGTTCCCGCGGAGGCGGTGGCGGGATAATACGTTTCGCGGCTTTTACAACACTTCAATGACGGGCCAGACACTGGTGAAAATGAATGCACCTGTTTCGGCGAGCGATACACTCGACATTTATGATATTTACGTTTGACATTTGCATTTCGCTACACGCTATATATCGCACACAAATTAATTATATTTTCGAAGCCTCGGTTTTGACTTTGAGAATTTTCGTGGCGCTCGTGGACTCGAAGTTTTCGTTCGCGTTTACCTTTTACGAAATAACATCACGCTGGGGTAATATCGCGTTGATTATCTTGAGTACGCTCAATGTATATATTTTATGCGTATATTTCATTCTTTAAAGTACCTATATTTATCTCGAGCGAGAGAGAGAGAGAAGGAGGGAGGAAGAGAGAGTAGACTCAGTTAGGTGATATCGATACCTCTATTTATCGTTCCTCATACCGTCACTCGGCTGAATTTCGGAAATAATCTGCGAGATGATACCTCAAGGCGATAGTCCTAATATCCACTTCTTCAACAACGGATATGTACTGTAGATGACGTCTAGAGGTACGTTCTAAGTATTTGATGGCTGTTCACGTAGAGAATCAGTACCG